AATTAGCAAATAATTAATAAATAACTAGTAAATAATTATTTCAAATTTTATATTTTTTATATTTTTAATAAATTTATTAAGTATTAATTAAATTTTGTCGAATATTATTATAAATATAATTTTTTTATTGAAAATATATAATTTGATTTTACCAAAGTATATAATGCTAAATGATTTTGTCAACTTTATAGTTAAATAATAAAAATTTATTCCAAATGCTATAATTTTTATTAAAAAATATTGTAACTTTATTGTTAAATATTTTTTAACTAAAATATTTTTTTGCCAAATAATTTATTGTCAAATGTTTTTATTGCCAAATGATTTTATTGTCAAATGATTTTATTGTCAAATGATTTTATTATCAAATGATTATTTTTTTACCAAATGTTATATTTTTTTTGTTAAATTATTGTAATAATAAATGGCATAAATTGAATCAAACAACAAAACTTTGATATAAACTTTTATTAATAAATTTGAATTTAATCAACTGTAATTCAGCAGCCAAATAACCTAATTTGGATTAGTGAAAAGGTGATGATTTTCAATAAAAGCAAGTAAAACTTCTAAAGTTATTTTATTTATTACAATAGAATATTACCATTAATATGTTTTTTATTTCTTCTTAACTTTTCTCTAATCAAAAATAAAAGCAGTAAAAATTACACTAGTGATACAGCAAACAAGTAAAACTTTGGTATGTTTATATTAACCTTTATCCAATAAAAAAAGGTTAATAATAACAATTCATATATAAAGAAATCCCTATATAGTTTAATTTATATAAAGATTAATTAATATTATAATATAATTCATATATAGCAATATATACAAATATATATAAATATTAATCTTAATAAAGTTTGCTAAGCAAGGTTTATGCTAGCATTTAATAATAATAATAATTAAATAGTACATATACTTGGAAATATAAAGTAATTTTGTAAACTATTTTTCCACAATTAAAACTATAATTAAAGATTATAATTTTGAAATCTTTATTAATATATATATTAATATTGGATTTTCTCTAATTTTACAACTGTATAAACTAATATGTAATGTGAAAAATTATTTAAATAATTATTAACATATATTAATTTATAATTTATTTTTTAAAAAAATTTTTTTTTTATTTTTATAATTCTTTCGTGAATGTATATTTTTATATATACTATAATAATGAATTATTGTTTACCAAAAAAAATATTTATTCAAAAATTCATTTAAAAGTTTGATTAATTAACCTAAAGTAGAAATATTCATTATAACATAATAATCAAATTATTGATTGCAATATATAATATATTAATAAATATCTTGTTAGTCTCGTATCTGTCCAAGGACATCAATACTTCGATACCTGGTCATCAGAAGACTTGCTTTATATATGGTTCTCCTTTTAGGTGTGACATTATCAATAAAGTCAATAATCAGACTAAACTGTAAGTCAGAACCAATTCTGTATTAATCATGCTAAGAAAATCGGTTAAAAATTATTTATAATAGAGCTAGTAATACAAATAATTCAATTATTGAAAGTTTAACTATAAAAACGTTAACTATTGATTGATTATTAGTAAAAAGGAAAGTGTAATATTTATATGATATTGAATATCTAACATGCCTATTTTTTATCGTATAGTTTCGTGCATTGAGAATTCTATTGTAGAAAATGGTATATCATCGTCAGAATCATCATTGCCGAAAGCAGGACTATTTAACCTACAAAATGACGTTTTAAAAACTTTAATTGAAAGGATATTACAATCTTATATTAGAAGAATATAATGAATGTGATATAATACAGTCTTGGTGAAAACACTTTAATTTGCCGTATATGAGTATCCTTTCCATTTTGAAGATTGGATTTAATTGAGATTTGAAAGAGATGTGCGCACACTGGACGACTTGTTTTACTGTCTCATTACAAATATTAAATAAATATTTATATGTATAATATGAAAATAGTAATGAAATCTTATCTGATGAAGTACGTTAATGTATGATCTCCACTCAGTTGAATATCAACCCATCCACAAGGATCTTCAAGTTCAACTGTTCGCAAATCCTACTTGTCATGGTTAAGGGCTGACTGAAAATAGAAAATTCAAAGATTTTTAATAAACGCGTCAAAGATTTGTACCTGCAAGTCCCCGAAATTCGTTCCGGCCTTAATAACTATCTTATTGGGTGTGTAGCTTTCATCATTCTTATAATCAATCCAAAGCGAAATTTGCTTGTTGTAATATATAGCAAAGTTTTTAAGCCAACTGAGATAAGAATTACTAGATAGTAGTTGGAATAACAATTACCACTACTGGGACCTTTTTGGGAAATTGAATATTGACAAGGTGAGGCAGAGTACCATCCGATCTGAAAAGACAACGGTTATTATGCAATTTCGAAAATTATCTCGAATATACAGTAAATAACTTACTGCCAAAATGTCATTAGATTATTATCTCGTAAGTTTTCAACACCATTACCGGCTTTCCAACTTGAAAGAGAAAATATCGCCAACGAACCAATTTCTCGTAAATCTAGACGCGTAAAGACTATCAACACACGTAATATCAGATATTACCATTATGAATATTCTTCCTTTTTAATACCTTCGTGTTTAAATTCACTCTTTATAACTTTTCTTTGAAGAGTAATATTCTCGTCATCATCTACGATATTCCCAATATCCTCCATATCCTCCGTATCCTCCGTATCCGGTACATTATTTAGATCGTTCATATTAATTTATTTAGGGAAGAATCTCTAAAAACTTCATAGTCGATCAGCTAATGATCTTATTGGCTGGCAACAAATAAACTTTCTTTGCCGGCGTGTTACCATGTATGGTTATAAACAAATATAAATTTTTTCTAGCTAAATATATATAGATCAAAATTACAAAAAAATTCCATATTTAAATAATACTTGATATTTAAAAATTTGAATATTTTGTGTATTTTTTATAATTATAAAAATACAAAAAAATTAATATTTATTTATTTTTTATTTTTTGAAAAATGCCAAGGCACCAATAGCACATAATTTTTTATTGAGTAATTTATATCCAATTATATAATTACAAGGTCTATTTAAATTAATCCATACCTACATCTATGGCCTTATCCAGTTATATGAGTTTATTACTGCTGGAATAGATCTACACATTTAAATAAAATCTTTAGAAAATAGAAATGTTATTACTAATTTATAAACTATCTAATCTAATTTAAACCTTAACAGTTGTTATTGGAAACATATATTTTTCAGAATTAATTAGAATATCTAAATAATCTGTTTAATACTTTTTGCCTAAAACCTCAAAAAAAGTATTGTACTTGTTGTTACTATTTATAATTTTAGATTTTTCTTTTTATTAAATATTTTTTTTTTCTTTTAAATAAGTATTGGATTGAAATAGCTTCAAACTAAATGTTATGGTATCTATTATATTAAAGGAATTGTAAACTATTATAAAAGTTAAATTAGAAGTCTTATCTTATGCAATTTTTTCTACTTTAATCTATTTTTAATTTGCAATTATCAAAAAAACCAAAAATTTTATTCTTATGTAGTTTAATTGAATTTAATTAGAATTTAAATATTTAAATACTTTATATATAGGAAAACTGATAAACCTATATATAAATAGAATTTTTGTATTTGCCTTTTATGAATATTGAACTAGAAATATGTATTTGAAGCTTGAGAACATTATTTATTATATTATTGATTTATAGGTTTAATTAATATTTATTTGTTTATTTATTTTATTATAATAAATTTATATTTATAAAATTTATAAAACAAAAACAAAAACAATATATTATTATCATTTAATAATATATTTTTAATTTTTTAAAATTTTTTGATATTTTTAATATTTATATATCAAATTTATTTTTGAATTTATTATTATTATTATTATTATTTAATTTAACTACTAGGTACTGTATATATTTATTAATCTATTTATAAAACAATAATATAAATATAGAATATTTAGTAAACTTATATATAAAAGTAAATATATTTTTATTTCTATAAATATTAAATTAGAAATATGTATTTGAAAATTTGGAAGTACTATCTATTGTACTATTAACTAATAGATATAATTTTATAATTTATTATTATTTAAAGTTATAAATACTATATACAGTAGTGTGCAAAAAAAAACCAGAATCATATATTTATTTATAATTCAATAACTAATTAATTAAATTATATAAAACTTTATAAATAAGT